ATTTACAGAAACTAAAATGAAATACAGAACTGGAAAGAAAATCCAAGTTGAAGTACATGTATGGAGATAAAGAAAATTATGAATAAGATTTTCTCATTTATTATTGTGCATACAAATATTCAAAGGAAAAGGCTAATCTTATTTTAGTTTCAAGTACTAATGTTTTATGCAAGTCAATTTGGAAAATACCCGGCTAACAAAACCGTAAATGCTGTAAAAAACTGAATTTAAAGAATTCGTGAAAAGCTGTTAAAACAAGAATGGTAAGTTAGATACTTATTTTTCTTATTTGTATATTATCTATCTAATATTAACAAACAAATATCAATCACAAGACACCTACTCGTGACGTCTACGAAAATTTCATAAGCTGTCAATAGAATAGAGATGGCAATTATTTGTACACCACCAAGAAATTAATGGTAATGTTAATAGAAATAAAACATGCATACCAAGAAATTTATAATAATAATAAGAATAAAATATAGCAATAAATAAAAAATATGATAATAATAATAATTATAATAATAATAATAATAAAGCCTGCCAAGAAATTAATAAATATTATAATAATAATAAACAGTAATAATTTATACACAGTTTCTGAAAATACAATGTCATATTTTTTATTGATATTCTAGTCAGTCCTGGTTATGTGTTTTTAAAGGTTTACTCCGAAACTAAGACATGGAGATCCCCATCTTTTGCAACAGTTGAGCTGCGCTTTTATTTGATTTATTTGTCCTCGGACATTTTTGTTAAAATGTTCAAATACTATTGCATCTTGGATAAGTCAGCGTTATATCTTTTAACAAATGAACGACAGTATTGAGAACTTGGATATAAAAGATAATAAAAAAAAACAAACACTAATTTCAAATATTTCCAAGACATCAAAATTTTGTTCAGCGGTTTAAAGCAATTTTGATACAATTTGAAACGTTTTTGTAAAATTTCTGCATTGAATGAGATCTTTAACGAAATTGAGATAATTTGCATTATAATTACTTTTCAATAGAATTTTGGTTGAGGTTAAGAATGCCTTTATGCATTTTCTGCTTAAATAGATACAAATAATTGCCAAAAGCATATCATTATGCATCATTAACTTGGTCATATGTTTAGATATAAACCATGATATTGTTAAAATCTCAAAGAACACGCATGAAGCTGTGATATTGAAATATTGGGAAATTTAGTACAATTTGAAATTACTTTTGTTAAATGACCTTGATGAAATAAATTCCGAGAATTTGCCCTGTCTTTTTTTGGTGGCATGCATTGACATAATTATCTATAAACAATTCGTATCAGCGTATGTTAAGTCACAGTCTTTGTCTAAAGAAAGTGTATTTCCGACAGATCTACCCTAAGATATGAAGACTTAAAGAAACAATAGAAAACAATAGAAAACTACTAAGATTTCAAAAAAGATTGAAAAGGGAAGGCAGATCGGAGGAAAACCAAACACTAGAATATTTCAAAACCATGATTCTGCAAAGGAAGGAGTATTTAGGTGGTTTTTGTAAAGGGGATATTTTTCATTTTGTACTGTAGACAACATCATTTATTTCATCTAGGGCCTGCTATGGGGTGGTTGCAGTATAGATTCATGCCTTTGCGAATGTAATTAGTTAAAAGTAATCAGTTGATGCAAGCATAGAGGCACAAAAAAAAAACACACACAAAAGAAACTATATATATACCAACAGTTACTGTTTATTTCTCAATGTTTGTGTAAAAAATCGTACAGATAATCGGATCTAGTGACATATGAATTTCAAACCGTCTTCATTGTTTACCTCCAAGATTTAAAAAAAAATTTACATATATGTCCATAGCATCAAAATAATAATAATCGCTATTCACTACTTATGAAGTCGAATTTTATGCATTAAAAATTAGTTCATGCATTTGTTAAAATTTTGAAGTGAAGCATGTTCGGAACCAAATGTGGTAATTTGTATCTAATTTAGAATGTATATCGTTCCTTCAAAAGATTTTTTTTTTCTTTGAAGTGTCCTAGCTCCTTGGATGTATGTTTATCATTTTGTGAAGAAAAAAACCCTATTAAATTGTAGTTTTAGGCATCTTCAAACATTTATAAGTTTGTTAAACGATCACACACATAAAATTTTATCAACATTTGAGATACACACATGAAGCTATGATACTGGATATTTAGGTAAAGAATGCATTATTTTATTTTTTATTTCCAAGTTTGAAATGGATAGTGGGGAACTCAACTTTTTTCGAATTTTACACCAATTCCTAATCAAATAAATCGATGGCAACTACAAAATCTTAAATTCTTTTTCAGTAAGTTGTGTCTTAAAAAATCAAAAGATCGTACAAAGTTTACCAAGGTTCAATAAAGCGCTAAATGCAGTGAAAAATGTTTGCATGTAAAAAAAAACAACTTAGAATTAGATTGATTGATTGATTGTTGTTTGTTTAACTTCCAGTGGCAAATAGTTCATGTGTCATGATTCAAGACGAGAACAAATTTACAAAAAATACAATAGGTATAGATTCTTGTAGAGTGTATCAACCGGGACGAAAGGCGGGAAAAGGGTAGGGCAAGTTGCGGAGTACTAGTGTCTGTTTCAGTCACAGGGTTAATATATAAAAATCAGTGGCGTAGGAGTAGACTAAAAGATGTGTGGGGAACAAACTTTCGAAAGTGACAAGCAAAAGTGATGATACCACATCTCCTTTTTTTATATAAAACTTTCTATAATCTTTTACCATCGAAGCCAATGTCCTCAAAATTTTTGTTTGCCTCTCCAAAATGTTAGGGGGTGGAAATTGCACCCCTGTCCTCCCTTGACTCCTTCACCCCTGAAAATTAGAGTCCTACTGGAATTTGAATATTCGCGAGTCTATATCATACACATAAATAAAAACTTTTTTCAATAATTTTATTTATTACCATAAATTCAAAATATTATTCAGCAATGCATGTTTCTGTTGCATTTTGATACAAAAACTGCAAATTTTGCATGTTTTTGTAAACAATTTCGACAGAAAAAGTCTTTTATAAAATTCGTTAAGGTTAATAGACTTCTTGAAAATGGCCCTGGTGTGAAATGAATTCAGGGGAAATTGGCCATTCCTCTTTGGACTGCAACAGGAAAAGGAGGGTAGGCTGGCAGGGACATACTTTTTGCTTTGCAACTGGCTATCTAAGGACATCTCAAAGGTTATATAATGGTTCTCATACGTGCAGAGGGCGTGGTTCATTCCATACACGGAGTATCGAATTTACGTCCTTATTCCGAAAGACTGACATTTGAAAGAATTTATATATCCCGCACACTATAAACAAACGTCCCTTGCGGGGGCTTTATACCCCTTAAACCGAGAAACTTGAAGAAGAAACCGGGATACCCTTGGGGTTAGATATTAGAAAAAACACAGTAAAACATTTTTTATGATAAAAGAATTCTATGTCCAACAACCTCCATTCTACTAACACATCTAATCTGAGACGTCAGCCCTGATCGCACAACCATTTTGAATAGTCTGATTAGAAGCACATTGACCTCTCCCTATTAATCTAAAGTGTTTTGGATTTCAGAATACTGAGAATTTCCTTAAGATTGCCTGGAATACGCATTTTCATCAAAAACGCCGGCATACGATTCTGTAGTGGGACTCATTTCCTATTGCTCTCATACTACAAAGTAGATGTGTATTATTACTTGATCATTATACCTACAAATTGTATTGGAAATTCATGATAAGTTGCTTTAAAATTTTACGAATTAACTTGAATTATCCATTGAGGGTAAAATATTCTAGGTTTTGGTGAAACAAATTAAGAGAATTATATATACTAGTAGTTATTTTAAATTTGTGTCGGTCGTTGGAAATCGACAGAATTAAACATATTTCGTGAATGAGCAAATAAATATGATTTGTGAAAGTGCAAATAAATTATTATTTATTATCAAAATATGAATGAGCAAATAAATATGGTTTGTGAAAGTGCAAATAAATAATTATTTATTATCACGGCAATTAACAACATATTATTAAAAAGTGATAAAAATGTTATAGGTATTATTATTTTCACCAATAGCCATAACATATTTATTCACACAATTGTATTTTACCCTCATCCCTAATTTCTTTAAAAAATCAAACAGTCATCTCTAAAAGTTACTTTGATACAACACATGCACTCAGAGACATCCATTTACAAAGAAATACAGACCACATAGCTAGTTTCATGTTGACATTGATTATAGAAACTTAAAAAAAAATATATGCACTATAAAACTCCACTTGAAAAAATTACAAATGTGAGGGTCACTCTTCATGGTTAGTCTGTACAAAGATAAAATCTCTGTATTGTTAATGTGCATAAAAATATTCCCCATAACTATATAAATGTTTTTAATTTGTATGAAATAATAAATAAGGTGTAATCTCTATTTATTCAAAATAAAAAATATATAAAAAAGTGCAGTTCATTCATTAGAAAAATTAATATATTTGAATGTGCATGTGAATGTGGTGCATCAAATTAATGAATGGAATATATTGTTTATTTGGGTTAAATTGATGACAAGGTCAACATATGTATACAGACTAAAAATTCGCGTGAACCAAATCAGAGATATGTATATATATGTATATGTCTCTGGTCACTAATAGAACATTTTAATTACGATATGATAAACAAATTTCATTTAATTGATTAATGAATACACTGTGGTTAATTTATAAATAATTTTTAAAAAAAGTATTGAAAAAAAAATACCAACAAATTTTGTATTAATTATAAATAGATATACATTTCATTTACTTTTAAATATTTCCTCGTTAGTATTAACTTCCCTTAATTAGTTGACAAGTTTTGATAGCAACACAAAGGAAACAAAACAGTGTGTCGTGTGTCATTACACTTCATAATGAGTAATTGTAAAATTTGCTATTTGAAAAATTTTGAAAATGGGAGGAGCGTCTGAGTATTTGCATAAAGTAATGCTATCAGTTTGTGTATATACACGCCTTGTCAAGAAGTTAAATTGTTATTACAGGAGAGAAACTTAGTGATAAAAGTGTATAAGCTGATCAGCTCAAATCAAATTTTCAATCTAACTATAAAAAGAAATAAGTTGTCCAAAGAGAGTTGTCTTCAGCAAATGTTTTGATATTAAAACTTCAGGAGATATATAGAACAATGCAAATGAGACTAGCTGATAATTTTGGAATGTATTCTCCGCCGCTGGGCAACATTCAGGAGAGTTACCATTATTGGCCGGAACCTTATGGATATTATAGTGACCAAAGGGATACAGGTTGCTCTCCTTATAAAAAAGAAGAAAGGATACGTCGCCCGATGAACGCATTCATGGTTTGGGCGAAAACAGAACGAAAGAAATTAGCTGATGAAAATCCGGACGTTCACAATGCCGACCTTAGTAAAATGCTAGGTATGTTTAATAGTTGTTTTTATTTTCTGTCCCTTTCATCGCAACTCCATTACTTATACATACATACGAGGCATTGGAAATTTTATATAACTTCTATTATTTATGTTTCTAATTGTTTAATTTTTGTCTTATAACCCAATATTTTTGCCATTTGTATAAAAATAAGGAGATCAATGTGGTATGATTGTCAATGAAACAACTATCCATGAAATTCCAAAATGAAATGGATGCAAGCAACTATAGCCTTAGGTCAATGTTCGGCCTTCAACAATGAGAAAAAACCCATACCGTATAGCCATAAAATGCCCCGATATGAAAAAATGTAAAACAACTCAAATGATAAAAGAAATGGGACTTGAAATTCCACATGTATTTTTTTCTCATTTTTTGCTCTTTATCTTAGATTGTTTTACATTAACAATAATAAGTAAGGGCATGCGAGTTGCAGAAAAATGCTGTATAATACACTTTATCAATTTTTAATTATCAATGTTTTTATGTTATACTTAGTTTGAGAATAACCTGAGAAATTTCTTGATATGATGTTATCTTAATTCCTTTGACATTAACCAGACATATATTTTACAACAATTTCTTTCAAAACAGTTAATTTTTGCATGAATTCTATGTTTTGTTTCATTTAATTCATAGTTTCATCATATTGTTACTAAAAAAATGATAAAAACTGAAATTAAATTTAAATTAAAATAAATCTGTAAAATCGTTTTCGTTTTTGTTTAAAGTACATTGGTCAGGAAAAAATTAACCTATTTTAGGATTCTGTCTTTGCTCTGTAAATTAATGCTTCCCTGTCCAGTTCTTGTCATCCGAACATAATTCGTGGATTTTTAGAGTATTACTGGGATTGAGAAATGAAATATTTATGATTCAGTAATCCATGATATTTATTATTGCTTTATTTATTTTTCGCCTTCCATTGTTTATTTAGGTGATAATGGTAAATTTACAAATGTCAAACCATTATGACTGTTGTCAGTTTGTAAATTTTACGGTTTAAAAATTCAGTTATATACATGTACTATGTTATACATGTATATTTTTTTAATAAATTTTGATTTCCTTTAATTGATGTAAATATAGAATTGATTGTAGCCAGTTAATTGGTATATTTTAATCAGTAGTTATAAATCATAAATGAAGAAAGTATTTACTAAATTAAAGAATTTTAAAAAAGATATTTAAAAAACATTTAAATAAATAATAAAAAAAAAAAATACCAGAAGAAGCATGTTGAAATCTTAATGGCAAAGTTGTATAAATTCGATTCAAAAAAGGATAATTTCCTGCAAAATCATTTTTATTTCATGTTTTTAGGCTCAAATATCATAAGTCAGGAGCATTTTTTTAATTTTAATATGCTTTCGTAAATAACAGTACAAAACTATAAAATTACATTCCAGTAGAATCTTTCTTTGAATTTATTTCACGAATTTTGTTTTGGAATGAAACATGTCCTGGATACCTAAAATTGTATTAAATATGGATACAATATACGTAGTTTTCTGTATATTTCAGGAAAGAAATGGAAAGATTTACCAGAAGATGAAAAGAAGCCTTTTTTGGAAGAAGCTGAAAGGCTACGTCAGCAACACATGGTAGACCATCCGGAATATAAATACAAACCAAGAAGACGAAAAAATAATAAGAAAGTAAAATCAGTCGACAAACCAAGCAGAAACTACAACTATTCCAGTTCAAATGTAGTCTATAATAAATCCAGTGTGGAAAACAGACATTATAGTGAGACGGACTCTTCTGGAGACAGTTTCCGGTCGTCTGGTAAAAGAAACCAGACGCCGGAAAGAGCAATTTCGTCAACGCCATTGTATCTGCAACAATTTTGGAACGTCTCAGCAGCAAGTGGGCAACCAAATCCAGCAGTAAGAGATATGAGATCAGAAAATACCCATATAACGAAAAACTTTTTGTCAATGGACTACAATTCGAATCTATCGAAAAATTCTCCTTTTTCAGACGTTTTACGATCAGCTTCGATGCAACCCTTGAAACCGACACCACCATTTTATTCACCAACAAGCACATGTTTGACTACAAGCTCTGACAGTTTAACGACTCTCCGAGCATTAGTTAGTCGCCAACCTTTTTATAGTGGACAGTTTGCTGAAAAACAAGACAATTCTCATGTTCCATCTGTAGGTGCAGCACCTTCAAGCTTTAAGCCAGTCACAAGTAACAGCCAATATCCACATCATCAGTTTTCTGAAGCAACACATGCTACTCCAAATACATATTTACCTTGCTCAGTTCGCTCTAATTCAAATATGAACTTTCAACCTGGACTTTGTGTGAACGAGGTTGATAGAAATGAATTTGACCAGTACCTGGAAGAAGGGAACAGCACTTATCTTCATCATATCGACAGGTGCCAAAGAGGTGCAGACCAGTATACCGGGATACAGTTTGAACATACTACTACATTACCTTTTTTCAGTGAAATCAACGGAGATGGAAAAACTGAAAATAATTCCACTGGCACAAACACTATGAACTTATCAAACCCATTGTTATCTGAATGTGTACATTAATGTTCATCTGAAATTCACAATGGATACTGATTCATTCCAGTAAGTCCACGGGTAACTTACCTTTTTGTGCTCATATATTTTTTTTGTGCCAATATATGTAAGGCTACGCCAAATTAATTTCTGCTTCATGGGACAATGATTTTTTCTACATATTCAAAGAAAAGTTTAGCAGAAAATTTAGAATTGTTAAGAATTTTGTAGTCCAAAACTTAATTTGGCATGGTCTAACCTTTTAATTAGTGCATTAATATCTCAAAAAGAAAAAGAAAACATATTTATATTGACGATCAAGTGCTTTAAATAAATATTGTATAGTTTCAAATTTTCAGTTTCCGACGAAAATGCCGGACACACTTTGTATATATGGAGAATATCATATGTTTTATATAGCTATATTTATATTTTTTGAATAAAAATTGGAAAACAGTTTTGACACTTCTGTTGATATAAACAAGAAATGTGTGTGGCGCACACCTGCTACACGTCACAGGGCAGAATCTTGAATGACGGGATCATATCGTTGTGACAAGATACTTACCAAACATGATGAAAAGTAGGTTATATTTGGTAAAAAAAAATTGTGCAGTCACTAATGTTTGTAAGACACTCGATTGACCTTCGAATCTAAAAATTGATCGATTAAGGAAATATTAAAGATATCATTATATAACTTTACCATTACGTGATTTTTCCAGGCTGCTTTTGGGGTCTTTACATCCGTGAAAAAGTAAGAGATGCAACACATTATAGTAGATCATACCAATAATCCTTCATTAAACCGACGAAAAAAAGGGGGGGGGGAGTTTGTGAAACATTACGCTTTTCATCCGAAATCTTCATGGATAATGGTTTACCTTTTCACTGAAATGTTCCTCCTAACCTTGTTCAGTGCCAGTGTAATCTGTCATGGAATACTTTATTAGTAGAATGTACCGTCTCCATTGGCAACAAAAATGTTCCTAGACCCTATGTCAGGTATGCGAATGAAAATTAAAAAAAACCAAAACTGTAGAACCCTATTTATAACTCAGTTCATGATAGATTGATTGTTGTTCTCCATTCTCACCACTTATACTCTTATTATCTTAATATTGTTTTACTAGTTTGGCCTTTCTAGGCTATACATTAAATATTTTTGCCTAGCAACATATATTTCTCAATATAATAACAAATACACAGCAAGTGAAATATTTGAAATTCTTGTTTTTTTTCTATAAGGATAAGGAGATGTGGTTTGATTTGCCAATGAGACATATATTCACCAGAGACCAAAGGACGAGAATATCAATAACTAAAGGGCACTGTATAGCCTTCAACAATGAGCAAAACCCATACCGTATAATGAGCTATTAAAGGCCCCGGAATTACTTAATGTGAAACAAATCAGAAGAGAAAACCAAGCGCCGGATTTATGCCAAAAACAATAAACGACAAGCTAATAACCGAGACAGGCAGCATCCAACGACAACGACTGAAAATCAGGCTCCTGAATTTGGACAGGCACATACGAATTGGGCGGGATGGATTTATATGTTTGTGAGCGCTCAATCCTCCCCTGATCTTGTACAACACGCGTATGCTTTAATATGGTTTCATATTCATTTCGTCTTTATACCAAGTGAAAGATGTAGAGGAAACTTTTCCTGCCAAAAATCAAATAATTTTTTAATGTTAGTATTGCAAATACAAACACCAACTCAAGGATTTTGATGTTTCGGGCCATACCAAATGACGTCATTCACCTGGAAAACTGCAAAAGCTGTGAAATTCCCGTGACATCTTTCGGTGTTGACTTTTAAACGTTTCATATAGGATGTATCTTTCAACTTCAAAATATCAACTTCCGTCCAGGGAATTGAAAACAACGAGAGCCACCAGGAACTCGGCGGACCAAGAGAAGTCAGAAAGTAGGACCCCTCCCTCCAAAGGTAAATTTCATAAATTTGGATTTAACAGACGGGAAAGTACCTGGGACATACTATATACTAGTCCCAGGATTAACCTGTAATGATAGGGGGAAACTGCTTTAGGGGAGAACAGTAGTGCTTTAATCGTTTAATGTTTACTAAATAATTGTTTGCCTTTCTGTGCTTTGTTACATGGCATGATGAATTTGTTGTGCCAGGTTGGTGTAGTTTGCTTGGGTTTAGATTTGCTATAGCGAAATAAGTACTTTGGACAAAAAAAAATGATGACCAACTACAAAAAATAAATTGATTTGAATAGTTATAAGTGGTGTTAGTATGGAACTCGCGGTGAAAAATTCATAATCGACAAATTTTTAAAAATCTTTTTTGAAAAATCGATGAACAAAAAACAAGAAATTATCATTAATTACATGATAAAGAGCAATTGTGTAATATCGTATGCGTCCATGAGACAGCAACCTAACGACAAAAATCAAGTCATCTATAGTCATCTTTCGTGTATTGTTCTATGAACTTTACAAAGTATTAAAAGCCTCGTTAGGCAAAGTTGATCGCAGATGTAGAAACAGGAACTCCTGCTCCAAACAAAGCACATTTGGTACCACGAAACCCATGAAGCGGTTTGGAGTAAAAAGCTGAATAGGAACGGTCTGGGAGTTTTAACAATTAAAATACCTCCGCTGAATGAAGTGTATAATACGGCATGCACTTTTCCAGAAATGCTCCTGGTTATTTTTACCAACCTATGGTTTTCAAAGTTTTTTTAAGATATGATTACGTCTTCGTGATTAACCTTTTTCTCGGCATTATTCCGAATATTTTCTTACGTCTGACGTCGGAGTAATATCGGACTAACCGGTATATGTAACTATTGGAGCCTTCTATAATAGTCTCGATTTGTCCAAGGGTTAATTTCACAATAATCATACGAGAAAAATACTCGTCAGTCATAAACGTTTAAGTATACTTTAAGATCTACTTTAGTCGTAACTGTTCTTGTAAAAAGGGCTTCCATATGTTTTTTTGCGACGTAATAGTTTTTCCTTGTGAAGGTCAGGATTCTTTTAATGCAAATGCATTCTTTTTGACACCAAAAGTATGTGTTTCCAAAAAGCAACTGGTACTAGATTATTCATAAAAATAGCTATATTTCTATACCCATGTTACCTTAGAATGTGGTTATAGTCAAATGATGATTTTTATATAAATACATTCTATTCCATCTTTGGAGCTGTCGTTCCCCGCAGTATGAATATAAATTACAGGCTTTTGATTATAATGTTGGTAGAGTGATCGTAAAACGCAGCTACTTCACTTAATTTACAAAGATGACGACCGATGTAAATATAAACCGTAAATATAAACTGTGTACATACCTCTCCATTTTATGACTTAATATGGCTCTCGTGTCTTAAAACTCAACACAAAACGGTAATATCGACGTCAAAATGAAATTTACAACCCTGGTACAGCCAACACGAACCGGTTATTTATCACGGTGCAATATTCGGATAGATATATGGCTTGAAAAACACTGGGAAAATCTTAAATCATTTGCTACTTTAGTGTTAACTGCATGTTGTGCAAGTTTTCATGTACATGCACTTGTCATTTCATACCAGACTGTATAGTAGATACTAGTAAAAAATGAAATATTTCTTAATCAATAAAATACCGGTAGTACTACATATATAGTAATTAACATTCAAAACGACACGTTTCTCGTCATTGTACATAGCTGACGCATAGATGTCTTTTGCAGACTTTGGTATAGCTCTACCAGGTAAAAGGAACAAATACTGTCATATAATAGACACGAAGGAAGTTAAGATGGCTAAGTATATACAAAACTTAAACCAGACGGTTAATTTAATAGATATAAGAAGATGTGGTATGAGTGCCAATAAGACAACTCTCCATCCAAGTCACAATTTGCAAAAGTAAACCATTATAGGTCAAAGTACGGCCTTCAACACGGAGCCTTGGCTCACACCGAACAGCAAGCTATAAAGGGCCCCCAAAATGACTAGTGTAAAACCATTCAAACAGGAAAACCAACGGTCTAATCTATGTAAAAAACGAGGAACGAAAAACACTTATGAACCACATCAACAACATGTTTTATTGTTCAAAATGACAAATGGATCAGATACAAGTTTTACACCTTAGTATATATAACATTTTCAGCAGACGGTTTTAGGAAGTAAAAGTCATTCTTTGATTCGCTACAGCTTAAAGACATGTTATCTACAGGTACTTATCCCATTTTCCATTGAAAATAAAAGGAAACGGTGCTTTAAATACTTGTACTTCACAATTCAAAGAAATAGAAGAGTTTCAAGGTTAGTCCTAGCAATCACAGGAAAAGATATAAATAGCATGCCAGTTAATGACGTCACAACATGATTATCAGGCCCAATGGTAAATATGTCGGCATGATATGTTACTGAACCGTTGCAAATTCTTCGCATGGTTTAAATGGGCTTTGGAATGAATAAATGACGAACTTCAGTTTGATAAAAAAGGGGGAGAGACGAGCAATCAAAAGCCACTAGACGAAGAAAGACAAACAACACAATGGGCAAAAGAAAGAAACAATAAAAAAGGAATAGACAAACAACACAATGGGCAAAAGAGAGAAACAATAAAAAAAAAAAGGAATAGACAAACAACACAATGTGCAAAAGAAAGCATCAATAAAAAAGGAATAGACAAACAACATTTTACAAGACACTACACAGAAGTTTGAAGTTTGAGCATCACAATCATCAAAACCAAAACCGATGCACTAAAAGGGTCAGCAATTTCTGCTCCACGTGTCGTGTATCATTACAACTAAAAATTCATTGACAAGTTGCATTCGGCGGATGTCAGAAAACGAGGAAAGAGGACGTAATTGTGGTTACAAGTGGAACATATGGATCCGTGGTCATCTGTGATACATGTATTCCCTTACAATCAAGCAAATCATGGTGAAGTCCGTAACACTTTTGAAAAGATGACTTCAAGTTTACCAATAAGAACCCTTGAAATATGGAAAGTAAAATGAACGTATAAACACAATATCATAAGTTTATTTTAAAGTAATAAAAAGATGAGCACGTCTTAAATGATTTGCCGAGTATTTTCTCCATTTCATGACCAATCCTTATAATAGTACAAACTCTGTGGTGAAAAACGACATTCTCGTTTTTTATATAGATTAGACCGTTGGTTTTTCCATTTGAATGGTTTTACACTAGTAATTTTGGGGGCCCTTTATAGCTTACTGTTCGGTGTGAGCCAAGGCTCCGTGTTGAAGACCGTACTGTGACCTATAATGGTTTATTTTTATAAATTTTGACTTGGATGGAGAGTTGTCTCATTGGCACTCATACCACATCTTCTTATATCTATTAAAAAAAGATGAAGTGCTAGTAAATAAAATAGATATTAATAAACAGTTTATCACAGGCGTTATTTGAAGTATTCCTGCTCTTTTTATTAACTTTAAGACAGT